TATTGATATTATTAAGACAGAAGACCTGTCCGTCTGTATTAGTCATCACACGGTCTCCAGGAATTTTATAATTTGTCATTATCTGTGTTTAGTTTATTGCACTTTAAATAGTTTAGATGTCATTTGTTAAGGCATCGCTCAACAGCGGCCTCGTTTCGTACACTCTATCATTTAGCCTCGACCCGGGAGTATGACGTCAACGTAACGGTTAATCTTCGCTCACGACGCCATTTAAAATTAAATCAGTCAACGAAATCCCGTTTAAATCCAAGCTGAATCCAAGCCATCCATGGGTCTACATAGTTGATTTTGTGCTTGTTGTGTAAAGATCTAATTTATAATTTCTATGACATCTGAAGCCTAAATAAAGACTTGCAATAATCAGATTTAGCTCTTACATAATGTATGTTTAAAGGTTGTGCTATACCATGGGCTCAGTGTGTTCACCTGACCTTAGCAACCGCGTTATGGGATTTTTAGAAGAAAAATTATATACAATAACGGAAAACAAATTTGGTATTAACTATAGAAACTACATCGAAGAGAAATTTACAAGATATTTACACGACGTCTTCCTCATTTGGAAAACTAATCTTGGCCACCTAGCAGATTGCACCACGCATAATTTACACAAAAACAGATATACGGAAAAGACATATTACTATATATAGAGAAAAAAAAAATAAAGGTTAAAAATGCCCTAAGAAAGTACTATTGTTTAATTGTCTAATAATGAAGTAGATAATATATAATATATATTATGAGATACTAACGCTATCAAAAGATGAATCCATAGTGATAAAACAAGCAGATAAAGGTGGTGCAACAGTCATTTTGGAATCGGAGAACTATAAAAGAATGGTATTAGACATATTGAACGATACCAACTACTATCAAAAATTAAACTCTCCGCCACTATCCAGAAATATGACCGCACTACGTCGACTGATATGAACACATAGGCCTAGTTCCTGTTTAACGGAGAAAGAATTTAAATACTTACAAGAGTTTAATGTGAAAAACCAACAATATTTATGGTTTACCCAAGATTCACAAATGTAAAGAAATACACACAGCATATGTAAACCAAAATTCGACATATATTGAAGTGAATCATCCCCAAGATTTGAAACTCCGACCAATTATAGCAGGTCCAGCTTGGAAACTCATCGTTTAAGCAATTTGATAGACATCATACTTCAACCTTATAATAAAAATGTCAAAAGTTATAGAGATAGCGTAGATTTTTTTTTTTGTGCAAACAATATTTTATTTATGAAAGGGGATCAGGGAACAGGCAAAGCCTATATTACCCCTCTCCTCATACAAGGAATATAAAACATATAATATACAGATCTTCTATGTACATATTATAACATAATGGTGAAAATCATATAAATTAAATAATTTATATACATACTATTTAAAACAAATGAAAAAAAAACCCAAGAGGAAGTGCTGTTTTATAACATGATAAAAAGGGTTCTATAAATAGAATCAGATATTGAAGCGTCTGGTAACATCGAAGTATTCATGAACTATTTTAAAGATGTTATTATTATGTAGTCTGCTTGTCTACGATATCACCTTAGGTGGAAGTGGACGTAAAACTCCAGAAACGAACGAATGTAGTCTGATTTTCTATGCCAAAAAGAAGTGGTTTAATTGATTGCTGGTGGGATGGTAAAATATGTATTGTATTTTTTCGTGCATCTGAATACAGTGGGCACCAGCGGAGAAAATGTTCAGAATCTTCAAAGCTATGACCACAGTTGCATGATGGATCCTCGGAGATATGTTGTAGAAATTTATGCCCGTTTAGCGTAGATTTTTTGAATAACTTACCCCAAAATGTCCCACAAAACGCTATCCTAGTTACTTTCGATGTTACAAATCTTTATTCTAATATGTCACATGTTTTAGGATTAACAGCTGTAAAGCACTGGTGATCTAAATATCCAAACGATAGAGAAGAATGTTTTTCGGAATCATTTATATTAGAAACCATCGACTCTATATTAGAAAACAACTGCTTTTATTTTGCTTCTAACTATTATAAACAACTTAATGGCTGTGCAATGGGGAGTAAATTCTCACCCTCGCTGGCAATTTTAGTCCTTGGATATTTAGAATTAACCATTGCTACGAAAGTAGAAGAAACATTTGTCTTGGAGACCAGCATATATTTCGAAAAACAGATTTTCATCTGGCTCCAATCATTTGATAATCTCCTTTTATTTTATAACATAATCAATAATATTCATCCGAATATCCAATTTACAATGGAAACTAGTACAGATAGAATACCATTTTTAGACATAATGGTAATCAAAAACGGGGACATTATTGAATCTGATATATATATTATAAAGATACTGATACTAAACAGTATCTCGAATTCAATTCGTGTCACCCTAAACACATAAAAACGGCTGTACCATATAATTTGGCTAGGCGTATCTGTACCATCGTGTCTAACAAGGTAACTAAATTTCAAAGACAACAGGAATTGAGAGAATTTCTGCTAGCCCGCAAATATCGCTCAAAATTAATCAATGACGGAATTCAAAGGGCTAGTAAAATACCGTTAACGGAATTAAGGAAGGTAAAGATAAAAGATACAAATCACAATATAATTGCATTTGTCACCACCTTTAATCCTCACAATCCTAATTTTTCCAGCGTAATTAAAACAAATTTTCCACTACTTCAACAAGATAAAAAATTGAAAAAACTTATAGATACACAAACGTTTATCCCGTCAAAAAGACAACCTAAAAACCTTAAATCACCATTAACTAGGGCTAAATTTGAATCATTCAGTCCAATTAAGGAAGTTGTAAAATGTGGAAGGGATAATTGCGGCACGTGTATATATTTAATTGAAGTTTGAAGGTAAATCATTTATATTTGACAGTGGAAAAGAATTTTTTGTCGATGAAAGTATGAACTGTAAAGTAACTCATGTATTATATGTCATACAATGTAGTGGCTGTGCCGAACTGTCGGTTGCACGAACAAGTTACAAAACAGAGTAACGGTTCATAGACAACATATCAGGGAACCAAATTTAAGGAAGATCCCTTTAAGTCAGCACCACGATATCTGCGGTAAAGGCGAGTTCAAAATATACCCTTTCTTTAAGATGCCGTATTCAGATCCCATGAAAATGAGATTGAAGGAACAATATTTTATTGACAAATTTAAACCCAAATTAAACATTTCAAAATATTTACAATATTATGCTATATATATTATATATTATCTACTTCATTATTATTATATTATTGTATGTTTATTCTTTCATGACGTCACGTCATTATTATTGTTATTGTATTGCATGTCTTGACAAGCTCAGACGAAACATGTAGACAATTAAACAATAGTACGTTCTTTGGGCATTTTTAACCTTTATTTAATTTTTTTTTCTATATTAACACTACTACGGTTTTAACTTCATACACACACATATATATATATATATATATATAATAATAATAATAATGAAGTTTTATATAGCGTCTTCTCCATGTTGACACATGCTCAAAACGCTTTTTGTAATGGCTCTACTGGTAAAACTGTTGAACCAGGAAAGTCTTTAGTGCGGATTTAAATTGATTAAAAGTTTGTTGATTCTTGATCTGTTGTGGAAGTTCGTTCCATAATCTAGGACCAGCTGAACTGAAAGACCTATACCCATATGACTTCAAATTATATCTTGGAACAACTAGTGAAAGTTTATTTTGAGAGCGAAGTGATCTAATAGGATTGTAGTCATATAAGAGTTCAGATAAGTATTGAGGAGCTGCATTATTGCGACATTTATACACTAATGTTAGTATTTTGTATTTGACTCGCGCCTCAGCAGGTAACCAATGTAAAGAAGCCAGCACATTCTGGATGTGATCAAACTTATGTGTCCTTGTTACTATTCGGGCTGCAGTATTAAGAACCTTTTGGATCTTGGCTAGAAATGCTTGTGGGATTCCATAGAGTAAACTATTACAATAATCAATCCTTGATAAAATAAGTGATCTCACAAGTAGTTTACAAGCGTCAGCAGTGAGATAGTTTCTGATGTTGCATATATATAAAATATCTTTTTGCGACACATCAACATGGTATTGTAATGCTTGGCTAAGGAACTAAGGAATTATTTAAAGTTGAACCAAGGATTATTAGACACGTGGGGATTGTACAAACGCATAATAATGGCAGACATGCACCCATATGAAAATAAGAGGGTCTCAATGCTACAATGTATTACGCACACTTAATAAATAGTGGATAACTTATAATTTCTATTAACAATAAAATCTACATAGACTATTGAAGATGTATTTACAGCTAAAATATATTTAAATTTTAAATATGAACCCATTTAAAATTATGGAACTAGAATTAAGAATGTCCTATTCTACTGAATTTGATCTAGGTATCTGATTCATAAAATACGTGTATATTAAAAATCGCCAAGTTTCAAAATTCACCGAGTCTTTCAATTCCCAAACCATCAAACCAAATCGAATTTTTAACCGCGTTAAGTTAATTATACAACAATTATTTTAAAAAGTGTAATTACAAACTCCGCGATTTAAACATTTACATAGGAACAGTATATATAATACATGGGTTATTCTAAAAACACCAGCAAACGAAACATATATACAAAAGAGAAAGACCGTACGATAATAGGATGGAGATGGTATAATTAAAACATGCATTATTTACAATGAAAAGACAAAGTAGAATCACTTTTCATATAGAATATGAGGTGAATTATGGTATTTCACGTGTACGCGCAATTAGGACCATTTAACCCGAAATGACCTCCCTGGTTTGACGTGATCGTGTTTTTGTTTTGATTACCGAGAAGCGTCAAATATTGCTTAGCTAATGTAGCCAAGATAAATTTTGATCCAAACGATCCTAACATGCGTCAATTATCATACCATAATAAACATGTATTATCTAACATGTATTATATTATCAACAACAAATAATTTTAAATCAATTTTTATCAAACTACACGCGATTGTCTTCTGTTTTGTATTACAAATTCATAGTGTTGAAACATTTTCTTCTTTTAAACCACATTGTAATTTCTTTAATGTACACCACATCAGATGCTGACACTTTGGCGTATGCCGACAAATCTGGTAATATCCACCAACTGCATGGTAGCTTATGGCTTTACAATATTTACATTGCATTCAGATATATTTCTTGAAATAACAACTAATGATATTGATTCAATGGCTCTACATTGCATTCAGATATATTTCTTGAAATAACAACAAATGATACTGATTCACATTCACACTGTCCTAAACGTTCAAGTTTCTAATAAAAAAATATTATGACAACGTCACACCCATTCTTCTTAACGCTAGCATGGCGTTGATGGCTTTCTAAAATAAAATAAAATAAAACACGAATTAATGCAATTCGAATTAATAAAATTGATTAATAAGTAGCATTGATATTGGTTTCAAAAGTGTGAAAAGAGAAGTGGATCTTCTAGGAGCAAACACTATCTCGTGCATGACATCCGTCTGTTTAAAATACTAGTCAATGTGAAAAGAATTGATGTCTGGGGGGAAGTGCATGTATTGTTTCAGACAGTTAAGGATACACGCCCCGTCGGTACAACCAATCCCCATCGATCCACCCCCATCCTGCTCCTGAATGTTATCATAGTTTGTTAAAAGCACAGGCACTTGAAGGGATTAAAATAAAATTGCTTACTACTGCTTGACTATATATTATAGTATATATAATATATAGTCAAGCAGTAGTAATAAATTTTATTTTAATCCCTTCAAGTGCCTGTGGTTAAAAGTTATCCACTAGATACATACTTGCCATTTTCGACGATATACAAACTTTCTTAATCTCTTAGTAGATAGGGACCTCTCTGGTAAATGGCCTTCTCGTTTTAGTGATCTCTGTAAGAGAAAGAAAATAAATACAGACTAGATCTGCTATGCAGATATGAAAGCTTTCATATTCACGGTCAGTTTCTAGCACATGTCATGGGTTATATAAAGAATCTCAACAAGGAAAAAGAATTATTAAAATCGATCAAAACTCGAAGTTTTATGCGTATATATAGTGAGTAACATTGCACCCGGAAAAAAAAAATCTGGGAAATAATTGAGACTTGTATTGCTGTAATCGAATTGACTCCCCATTCCAGAAGTTTAAAGTAGCTAAGTCTCTAACTCAATATCATCAAAAATCTTCGACATTGACTACACGAATTATTTGTCAATTCAAATCAACATTGGTCTTGTGGTCTTACAGGGAAAAGATGGGCTTCTGATATCCAATATTCAAGACAAAATAAACATTATACCATTGGTACACGAATCGTGTACCATAATGCGTTTAAGCGCCATTTGGAACAACGGACTCAAAGAACAGGGCTAGACATATTCCACAAGTCATGTCAAATGGTGACGCTATATTCTTATCTGGAGAGCATGCGCAATAAATACCACCGGTGTAGAAAGGAAAAACCAGACGCTAAAGATCCCATTGACATGAAACTTCTGGCGTATTTCGCCAAACAAACTGATTAGAAATTACAGTAAAAGCAGACACGATTGAATGTAAATCAGTTTATATACATTCACATTACATTATTATATGCGTTACGACCCATTATTGTCAATTTCTAAGTCCCAAATATTAGCGATTTAGCTCCTTTAAAATACGGATCTAGATGTTGAAAAACGGGACAGATGAGAAAATGAAATGAAAATGGCGGAAAATAACTAAAAAATGGCAGGAAAATGTCGAACAAGAAAATTGGGTCGTGTGATGATCATTTGGAAAATTAGGCAACCCTAAATTGCACGGTTATTAATATGAAATGGGCTTTAACGTCCTGCTGTTCTGCTTCTACTGGGCTAATTAAGACAGGCATACGCTATACAGAATGCTATGTGGGAAACTATGGCCTACTCTTATATAGAATTTCAACTGCCAAGGGATCTTTTACGTGGACCCCAATTTATAGACGGGTCCTCAGTTGATCGACCCATCCGAAAGATTAGACAGCTGTGCTTGTCAACCCCTCCGTTTTGTACCACTGACAAGGGGAAACGACGCTGGAAAATGCTGATATTTATGCGTATATATAGTGAGTAACATTGCACCCGGGCAAAAAAAAATTTGGGAAATAACTGAGACGTGTATTGCTGTAATCATTTCATTTTTGTTATTTTAAAACTTGAAAGATATTTAAAAATGATCATTAATCGGTCAAAAACTCGCGAAGTTAATGCCATTTTTTACTCGTAAACAACTTTGTCGGCACGAAAAACGTCAAAGGCAAAATTCGAAATTTTGACATTTTCAAATACCATAAATTCATTTTGGAAACAGGGGACGTATTCTCCAAACTACGGCCTATTGTTTTCATTTTCATGTCCGTTATCATCGATTTTTCACTTTTTCTCATATTCAGTTCAAAATGGTGACCATCAGTTGGCCGGTATCAAAATTCTGATCCGATAGATTTTTAGGCATTCCTTCAAGGATTCAGAAAATGTAACTCCCATGTCTCTAAGTAAAATATTGCAAAGGCCTTATGGATTTTAAACGTTTCACAATGGTGGTACTTCCGGTTCAGTCGGCAGACTTCATATTTTGTGTACACATCAGTACTTTCTTAGCTAATACAGCATAAAAAAAAATCAAGGCAATCTGAGCTGTATTTCGTCGATTTTTTTTAAATTTTTGATCCTTAATTTCATCAAAGGGAGATAATTTAGAAAATTTATAATGACATCTGCCAAGTTGCATCAGTATGTTCTACCTACATATTAAATTTCATGAAAATCGTGCAACTATTAAAGAAGTTGTCAAGTTGGCCTCAACTTCTGGTTCGAAATCACAGAGACGTATTTTCGAAATTCGAAAATCCGAAATTGCATATTTGAAGTAAATGTTTCAAGGAACTCAAAGAAAAAAGAATTAGTAAAATAGGTCACAAAGTTACAGCAATGTAGGTCAAATACACTCGTCCGTAAAATTCGGTGATATAGTATTCGTAAAACGTTTTGAAAATATATTTGATCAAAAGCTACCACCCATTTTTTTTTTGGGGGGGGGGGAGGGGGGGGCGGGGGTGGGTGGGTAGGTTAAAGTTTCAGAAAAATCCTATGGTTAGATTCTGAGAAATCCGATTTGCATATGCAATATGAAAGCTTAATAATAATAATCTTAACAAAAACAATAAGCTTTCATAATGAATAGGTGGTCTGGTGGATCTTTTTTCATAGATCAAGAGTTTTTATTTCTATCTTTAGACAGATTATTATTACCATCACGCCTTTCCTTTACCAATGTACACCATACATAGGTAAAAATATACATAGCTATAAAAAAAAGAGTTATTCCCAGACACTTTGTTTACGATAATTTATATAGCGAAATATCATAAATACCCACCCTTAACCACTGATGTTCTAAACAGTCGGCAGCAGATAGCCTTTTCCTGTAATAACAAGATCCGGTAAAAACATTAATGACCACCATAGAAAGTTAAATACCACATATCGTCATATCAACGCATTTGTTAACAAACCAATTAAAGCTAAGGTCAGGGTCAATTATCATAAAAAAATACCAACTGGTCTTCAAACGATCAATTGATATGTTGGCGGAAAGAAACTTATCTGCATTTAATCAGTGTCTTATAAAAGATGTAAATCTGATCTCATGTACATGTGATTTCATTTTCATCATGAGCGTAGTATTGTCAAATCTAAAGCATTTTGAGGAACAATTTAAAGTGCCCAATGGAGGGGTTTCATGGTTGGTGATTCCGGGTCGCCGACCAAGATAGTTTGGGTGTTAGTTACTAGTCTCCTATTAACCCGGAGAATAAACCCAACGATGAAAAACCACGGCTACACTATCCAGAAACCTGTCACAGATTTTAGATTTTCTGCACCTGGGAATGTTTCTCTTCTTTTATTCCAAACATTATTTCTAGCTACTAAATGTATTAATGGATATCTTACCTTTTATCCTTGATAAGTAGCTTGGAAATGAAGTCTTTAGCTTCCTTGGAAATGCTGTCGAATTCCTCTGCATTGAAATCCCATGTTGCAGAAGTTACATTGGCAAGAGTTTCTGATTCCGAATCCCCCATGAACGGCGAAAGACCAGACAACCTAAAGAAATAAAAGGAATAAAATCGAACACAGGAAACATTAAATCGTGATCGTTAGAATGTCATATTCGTCTATGTTGACATCGAAAGCGGACTGGCTGTATAATAACAAAAATTAACGAAATCATCTCTTTATGGCAATATATCCCTTATGACATAAGATAACGTATGTTGTATTTATAACATTTCCCGGGTACGTCTAAGCACGTATTCATTCATCTACTGAAAACATAGCTTGTCCGGTAAAGAAACATGCGCCCATGGCAGCCAAGTCGTCCAATGGGTGCACAAACATATTCGTTTATTTATTCTTTTGTAGTTATAAAACAACAAACAAAACTGGTCAAGAGTAACAACTCATTAAATAACTCAGAAATCATAATACGACCACATTTCAAAGTGGGCATATAAAAACTCACAATATAATGCAAAAGTATACAACAAAAAAGTACAACGGAGAGGTTATATCAGTTTCCACAATAAGGAAGCTTAATTTATTTCATAATTTAAGATAAAATTTAATATTTCGTGTACTTACAATACATAACATATGACACCAACACTCCACATATCAGAAGCTGTGTTGATTGGGTCAAAGTTGACAACTTCCGGTGCTACAAACTCAGGGGTACCAAATAGAACTCGTAGATCTTCTTTAGGATTATATTTTCTAGCCAAACCAAAATCTATAATCTTTATCCGGTTCCCTTCTCTTGATAAACATAATATATTTTCAGGCTGAAAAGAAAAACAAATCAAATATTATATTTGAATATAGGTTGCCAGGCAACAAAACATACGCCCACAGCAGCTAAATCGTCCGTGCAGTCGACAAGGGTTGTCGCATATTTATTCTTTTGTAGGTAATTAGGGGAATTTAATAGACAATTTCATACAAATGACATTATAATATTCGTCGTTTGAGGGTTCACAAGGTTCTAAAAACTAAAATAAGGGCCGTAACTCTTGAAGTAATCTCCAGAAATTGTTGAAATTCGACAGGCTTTTTCGTTTTACTAATTCAAATAATGCATATAAATTTCATACTGATCGGATGATAATTTTTGTCGTTCGAACGTTCGCAAGGTTCAACAAAGTAAAACAAGGGCCATAACTCTAGAAATAATTGACGGAAATTGCTGACATTTAATAGACTTCTTCATTTCACTAATTTAAATGATGCATATGAATTTCATACAGATTGGTTGATAATTTAAGGGCCATAACTCTAGACATAATACACGGAAATTGCTGAAATTCAATAGGATTCTCCTTTTTACTAATTTAAATGACGCATATAAATTTCCTACAGATCGGCAGATAACTTCCGATGTTAGAGCGCTCACAAGGTGCAACAAAGTGAAACAAGACTCCTAACTCTAGAAGTAATAAACGGAGATTGCTGAAATTCAAGAGGATTCTTCTTTTTACTAATTTAAATGACACATATAAATTTCATACAGATCGGCAGATAACTTTAGATGTTAGAGCCTTCACAAGGTGAAACAAGGGCCATAACTCTAGACATAATAAACGGAAATTGCTGAAATTCAATAGGTTTCGTCGTTTCACTATTTTAAATAATGCATATAAATTTCACAAAGATCGGATGATAAATTTTGGAGTAAGAGCGTTCATAAGAAAACAAGGGCCATAAACAGAAATTATTGAAATTAAATGGGCTTCTTCATCTCACTAATATCAACAACATATATCAATTTTAAAACAATCGGACCATAACTTTTGGCGTTAAAGCGTTCACAAAAAATTGTGGACGACGGACGGACCGACAGACGGGCGGACGGAAGGGGCGACGACAAAATACGACCACATTCCAAGGTGGGCGTATAAAAAGTCGAAAAATTGTTAAATTACTGGAAATGCTCTTCTAATTTTTTTTAAACTGCCCAATGGATGTTTCTGAAACTTATGGTACAGGAAGTTAAGTTCCCATTCCACTTGTTAAATCTATCCCAACAATGATCTGTAAACCAGTAGTAATCGAAAAAAATATTCGATATTTGAACCCCCCCCCCCCCCCCAAAAAAAAAAACCCAGTAAAAAATAGGTGCTCTTGCGAAAATTGTGATTTCACCATCGGGTGTGATCGGATCAAAACAACTAAAGTATCGTTTGGTAGCTAGATGAATGGGGTTTTGTATGACACTCTTCCTGTCTGATTCCTGAAAGCCGGTTCAGTGCTGCTTGCCGGTCTAGTTATTATTATTTATCGTGGGAGCATATTTCTTCATGATTGAAAACAGATATCGATCTGGGACTAAACTTTCTATCAAGAAATCATGTGGTGGTTACTTGATAAACTATATTTGAAACTTCTGCGCAGACAGGAAGTGGCCGAATTTTGAACGGTGGCCAGAAATTAAAAATCGGCAGTGGTTTAGCCAATTCTTTACCTATTTTCAAACAAATGCCATTTTAAGAAACCTCGAATCTTTTCCGAGACAATGGCTATCTCGCATTTTTTCAATTTCGAACATTCATCTATGGCTTTTATCGTTCGAAATTTGAAAACACGTTGTTTACGAGACAATTTTTGTTATTTTTCAAAATTTTCAAATTTGACCTACATTTTTGGATACCTGAAGCCCACCCGATTCCAGTAATATAAGTTTCGTTCAGAGTTATCGCCCTTTATTTTTCGATTTTTATTTTAATTTTCTGTCCATTTTATAACCCTTATATTTTTTTTTAGAAAGATTCAATAGATGTTTCTGAAACTCCTGGAACATAAAGCAATTTCAACAACGATTCGTAAACCGGAAGTAGTCGATATATTGTGCAATATTTAAAAAAAAAAAAAAAAAAAAAAAACCACACGCGGAAAATGGGTGCTTTTGGGGGAAAAAAGCGATTTCTCCGTCGGATAGTAACGTATTGAAACAACTAAAATATTGTCGAATGGCCCGATGAGTGGACTATTGTATGATACCCAATTCATACAGATATCGTGATCGGGAAGCAAAATATGACACGCCCAAAATCAAGTATTTTCCGATTTGGGGTCTCTTTGGACGCCTGTATCTCGAAAACTGCCCCAGCGAATTTTCTTTCTTAAACTTTCTCTATCGAGAGTACCTTCGGTAGTCTTGTGCATGAAGACATTTGATAGGACTTTGAAATAACTGGAATAGGAGAAAAAAGGGACTAAAAATCGAAAAAAAAGAAAGATGAAAAATCGTTAAATTTTGGAAAATGCTCTATTAATTTTTTTATTTTTACAGATTTTCAAAAGATAGGTTGCCAGGCAACGAAACATACGCCCACAGTAGCTAAATCGTCCGGGCAGTCAACAAGAGTTGTCGCATATTTTTTACTTTTTTCAGTAATGAAACATTTATCATACACTAAAATCTGATTAAGAGTAACAACTCATGAAGTAATTATCAGAAAACCATTAGAATTTGTTTGGTTTGTTTCAAAATCAATATACTTGTTCGTCTCATCTGAAGTCAATCGGATGATAACATAAGCCTCTAGAGCGTCACAAGATTTTTCAAAGCGATCAAGGGCTATAACTTTGGCAGTAATTATCGGAAATTGTTGAAAATCAATAGGATTCTTCGTCTCATGACCTCAAACACTGCGTATAAATTTAAAGTGAATCGGATATTAGCGTTAGCCTCTAAAGCGGCCATAAGTTTTTTTGAAGTGATCAAGGGCCATAACTCTGGCAGTAATTATCCGAAAATGCTGAAAATCAATAGGCCCCTTTGTCTTTTGACCTTAAACACTGTGTATAAATTTAAAGTCAATCGGATATTATGTTTAGCCTCTAGAGCATCCACAGGATATTTTGAAGTGATCAAGGCCCATAACTCTGGCAGTAATTATCGGAAATTACTGAAAATCAATAGGCTTCTTCGTCTCATGACCTTAAATACTGTGTATATATTTAATGTAAATCGGATATTAACTTTGGCCTCTAGAACGTCCACTAGATTTTTTGAAGTGATCAAGGGCCTTAACTCTGGCAGTAATTATCCGAAATCTCTGAAAATCAATAGACTTCTTCGTCTCATGACCTTAAACACTGTGTATAAATTCAAAGTCAATCGGATATTAACTTTTATTATTATTATTATTACAGCATATATATGGTGCGCCCTTTCATATAACATGTTCAGGGGCACTTTACAAAGTGATAATGTAATCATAAATAAACAACAAGATTATGGACATGTTTACGATTGTATACAGAGTCAGTTAAAAGCCTGATTAAATAAATGTGTTTTAAGTTGTTTTTTAAAAGAATATAGAGATGTACAACGTCTTAAACTAAATGGTAGATTATTCCATAAAACAGGTGCTTGACAACTAAAAGAGCGCTGACCATAAGAGACTAGTTAAACATTTTGGACTTTAAAAGTAGTTTATCTGATGTTCGTAATGTTCGGCCAGGTGCATAAAATTCTAAAAGATCTGAGAGGTAAACAGGAGCTAAATTATTTAAACATTTAAAAGTAAGTAATAAAACCTTAAAATCAATTCGATATTTAACAGGTAACCAGTGTAAATTATATAAAACAGGAGTTATGTGGTCACATTTCTTAGTTAAACATGCATTATGCAAGAGCAAAATCTGCTTATTACAAGTCTTTCTTTAGGCCTGAAATGTTATCTAAATTATCAATTAGACATTAATTAACTTATCCAGGCCATAATAAACTCTCGATGTCAAGGCTAGCCTTCGATGTTGGCTGGATTAGATTCCTATATGCCGCTAACGGCCATTGATAATCAAATAAAAAAAAGTGGATAATCGAGACTATGCTGTTTATATTAATGATTTTAGTAATGATGACCGAGACTATGCAAAAATTAATGATGACCCGCTTCTTTCTGGCTCATAGTGGACCAATTTGACTGAAATTTTCAGCAAATTACCTTTACACTATCTAGTTTTTAACTATTATAGCGAAAACTGCCATCTCTTTATCTTATCTCCCATAATGTATCTTTAAAGTAGCAAGTCTAGCTGCAGTATTCTGTACTTTTTGTAATTTATCTATAAGCTTTAAAGGTAAACCAACTAAAAGTGAATTAAAGTTATCTAATCGAGAAGTGACCAGAGAATTAACAAGTGACTTAGTCACCTCTACAGTTACACATTTACGTATTTTACCTATATGTCTGATATTAAAATAGCACAATTTACAAATATTATTTACTTGAGCTCTCATAAGCATAAAACTATCAAAGATTGCGCCAATATTACGAGCAGCATAAGATAAAAAAATATATCACAATTACCAATTACAACAGGGGGGTTATCATGTGCAAATTTACTTAATTGATGCCTTTAGCCTAATAACAAATATTCGGTTTTATCATCATTCAATTTTAGAAAGTTCTTTGACATCCATTTTCTAATTTCACTAATACAGTTCTCAAGTTGCAATTTTGATAAATTGAAAGAAGGACAATTAGGTGTAAATGAAATATATAATTGAGTATCATCGCCATACAAATAAAAGCCGAGACCATATTTTCTGACAATATCACCTAATGGTGACGTATAGAGGGTAAATAAAATCGGACCAAGAACAGAACCTTGGGGAACCCCAGATGACAAAACAGATTCAGACGACGATTTACAATTAACTAAAATACACTGATTTCTACCCACAAGATAGCTTTCTAAAAGATTTAATGCAAAGCCACAAATACCGAATTTAAATTGAAGTCTACGCAGAGCGTCAACAAGATTGTTCAAAGTG